AACTACAACTCCTGCTATTTAAAAAAATATAATTTATTAATTAAATGTAGCTAAATGAGTCGATAAACATTTTATATATTTATATAAAATAATCAATTATTTTTCAAAATTAAATCTATAACAATTTGGAATAACCATAAGTTTACAAAAATGCAACTCATAGTTTTAAAATGTGGCATGTTAATTCTTTGAGAAATGATAAATGTATGTTTCACAGCAAATGTCTGAAATTATTTCTTAAAAAAGAAAACTTATCATTTTAAGATGCGATAATTACTTTTTTTATCTCTTACTAAATTATACCGGCTATAAGAAAGAAGCAAATAGCTGGCAATTAATTATAGATCAAAGATTGAAAACAGTGTAGTTTCGATCAATTTTTAATACTGTGGAATACATTAATTGTTACGAATAAATCACAGCATCGAAGATCTCAACTGACCAATATCAATCCCTGCTACAGACGCAATTAACTTTCCTTGAAGAAATCGACCGTAAGATTAATTCTAACTTATCGATATACATATATACCGTGAGAAACGGACCCTCGACAAATTGGTGAGTCGGAGCATCTTTCCAATTTTCGCTTATTCCTCGTTTACGATATAGCTGATCTGGTTCGGCTGATCCAGCAGCCACTACTTCTCGTTGTTCCCGTGACTTTTCTCTCGAGTACAATGGCAAAGAATATCGGTCAGTCCAGAACTGCGAACCGCGAGAAACCAACGACGCCGGCAAAATCGTGAACAATGTGTGAATATACCGCGCGACATTTATATATCGCGGTGGGATCTCTTTAATGCTCGGGTACATATACACAAGCTTGAATCACATTCGCCGCGGGCTTCGTGCGTAACGGCGCGTGCTGCGCATCATCACAGTGCCGTATGAGCTTCCCGGTTCGGAAATTATTTTTCTTCCAGTGACATGTCGCCGATTTCAGCTCAATATTGAGATATATATGTTAAAAAATTAATATTAATATAATAAAAATAATATTATATATAAAAAGATAATATATAATATATATAAAAGCATAATTAATTTGATTATTTCTCTTTTTAAATATTTGTAATAAATCTCAAGAGATTAAATTAGAGCAGTTACGCGATTCGCGTTAAGCACATATATAAGTCATATATTATATCTAATTTTAACAATAGAAATAAAAAGATTTTTAATATTTATTATTCATTAGAGCTCATGGATTGATATAGGTCGCCTGACTTTTATTTCAAAATTGCATAATTAAATGTTTCGCTATATGCTGTCATCTGCAAATAGAGTGCATACAGGGTGATATATAAAACAAAACTGCATTAATTAAATGCTGGAAAAGATTGAAAAAAGCACAAAAGCTTTTTGCTTTTCTATACCATTCATAAATATAATCTATTCAAAAAAATAAGTAGCGCATAGAATACATCATTATTCGGAATGCGTATAGAATTGTTCAGGACAGAATTCCGGCAGACAGAGAGAGAGAGAGATGTTTTGAAATAATTAGCGAGATATGTATATATATAGTGTGTCAACGAAGTCATCGATTCACAATAACTATGCGGCACAGATAATAATTGCAAACGCTTTGTAATCTTCCACAATTAATCCTATGGTTACATATGTTGTGGATACGGCGCGACGGCGGTTTGATTAAGCAATTTGTAAACCGTGATAAACGCGCGTCGCGTTTAAATTGCGATTTTTGTTTAGCTTCGCTTGCAGTAGCGTATCTACTGACCCAATTAAGAGCTCGATTGAAAACACGAATGGATCCCTGATTGTGGGAAACGCGTGATTAGATTACACAAACAAATTCTCAGTTTCCTTTGCATAGAAAGATACGTTGCAAATACGTAAACAGTTTCTTGAATTAATTAAGTTTTTATTCATTATATTATACGACACGTGGGACACAGGTCCTAGACAAATATCGATAGCTTGCGTCATTGATTATTTATTCGATTTATTATTGATTATTATTGAAAAATTGGTCAAACAATTATTGAAAGCATCAAAATACGTAACTGAAAAATTTTTTTACATGATTGCCAACAATGTCCAATAATAAATCGAAGATATATAAGAGTAAAGTTAAAAAATTTTGTAGTATCATATCACACAAATACATAGAGCACGAGCGTGCTTAAAATAATATATTTCTAATAAGTAGTATTTATAGATTTTTCAAATTATATAGTATTTTTATAATCATATATTATTAATATATTAGCGATTATATAATAATATCTTATTGCAATTAATAAATACTGCATACATTACAAGAAAACAATAATAATGATAAAAGAAAAAAAAATCCAAACCGAATCAATGGCAGAATATTGCTTTACTTTAAACGTGGAGATCGCTTTTAGCGGCATTTGCCGCTGTTAGTTCTCGCGCTAATCTCGACCAATTAAACTCTCGGTAAACTAATCAATTGTGTGTACCCTTTACTGGGCTTCATAAAATGAAACGATGCTACGTCGTTCGGCAAAACAGTGTCATCATCGCCGCAAAGAGCAACGAGCTACTAACACTCTATCGTTCCTCGCGGAATTATCCAACGATAAATTACATTTTTCCTAAATACGATAAATTACATTTTGAAACTTCGTCACCTGATTAAACAGGACAGAAAAATAACTTTGTTTATGCGGCCAAATTGATAAATTGTGTTCGTGAGTGACGATGGTATGGAACGGTATTCTAGAAAACAAGCTCACAAGAATATTGTTGGAAGAATTTATTTCATAAGCATTAATTCAGGTGTAGTAATTTTTCTAATTCACTTTTTGAAGAAGGATCGAAAAATTGATCTATAAATCTAATTTTAATATAAAATTTCTCTTAATAATAATGTTGTCAAGTTTTTAGGAGATTACGTAGCTCGCTTAATTATATTTGGAATGTAACAACCATATTGCATTTCGAATTATTATTCTGTATCACAAGTTTCGAACTCAGACAGTCGATCAAATAAATTGTAAAAGTGCAACGATCGAACATTGAGAAGTCAACTGAGAAGGCGACGCGTCGTCGCGTATATAATAATTAAATAATATATACGGTAACGATCAATGAACATGTAATAAATATCGAATCGTAAAATTCATTGTGATTAATGTTTGCAGATGCGTGAAAATACAACAGAAATTAACACATGTTAAAGATGAGTTAATATTTTCAAAAGTGAATCTTAACATTTTCTTTTACGACTTCTCTCTTTAAAATATATAAAAATATCTAATATCTTATTAATTGTTACATCTCTGTAATATTATAAATTTATTGTCATTATAATCTGTTGTGCAGATGCAAGATGATATTATTAGTCTCGATAATCCGAAACTTTTATATGTATGTTAATTTGCCGATACTATATCCGTTCATGTCACATTAATAAGGTTTCTGTCCCTCATCATTGAGACATCGTCGCATGTCATGTGTGGAAGATAAGTATATCGACAACTAGACGTTATCAAAAACCGATAAAGCATTTATAATTATGTGACAAAGAGTATGTATGTAATGTCCTGTTTTCACCATGTTATATAATTTAATCCAATTATATATAATAAATTTGTATAGATAACGTTTTCTCAATCACGAAAAATTTTGCCATAAAAAACGCGTATAATATTCTTTTCTTTTGAGAACATTTTTTGTAATAAACAAAATAAGTTCAAATTCTTCACAATTAATCGAATAAGAATTCGAAGATGTTCAAATTATGATACTATTCTTTGCAATAAATAATCATCAATTCAAAGCAATATAATTTATTTCGATAGATAAAAGTCATCTTGATGTAAAGAAAATTATTTATTTATCACAACTTGTTTATAAAGAATTATTTAAAAATATTGTGAGTTAAGTCTCTGTAAAATATTTTAAATCACAAAGTTTTAAAAAGTTTTTTACGCCAAAAAGGGATTTTATTCTATCAGACTAATTGTAAGTATCCGTTGTCGCAGAACATAATCTTGATTCAACATTTACAATTTCGATATCCCTTGCACGGTTTACGTCAAGGGCGACAAATATCGTGAGTTAAAATATCTAATGCAGTTTATTTTAAGTCGACTAATGCTATAAGCATCGACGAAGTAAATATTGACGAAAATAGTATAGAATCACAATTTTTGCGAGATATGCGTCGCAAATTCCACTGATCGTTTATGCGTGATATTTACTTAGAAAATTTCACATATTGGAAATTCGCGACGCAATTTAGAGATTATGTCCGTCGTGACTCATTATCAGCTTGCAAGAAACATTTCCTGACACCACTATTACCCATGCCATTTATCTCGGGTCGTATCTCAACGAAATCTTGGCACATTCATCGTAGTGAAGTTTGAGAGAAAACGGGAGTAGTTTCATTCATGAAACTTCGCGCGAGCGTTTTCGGAGGCTGCGCGATCGGTGATTGAGAAAGTAACCTAATGAAAAACTGAATTAACTATATAAGTTTTGCTTCAATTTAAATTGAAGAAACTCGAGATATGTTTAAAAATATACTGACAACATTTTATGCAAATCTTTCGCGAAATACATTTTATATACCGTATAAAAATTTTATACTTTTATTAAAATTTTATATTTTTTTTATTATATTATACTTTTTTATATTATTTCATATTTTGTGCGAAAGAATAGATCTAATATAATAAAAACGTTCTGATAAAAATTCATCATATAAAAAGCGCTTTATTATCCACCTGTTTGCTCCTGTTCCAGAACGATTGTATAGCTTGTTGACACGTCGAAGAAAGAGACCCATAAGTTCTGACAGATTCTTGTGACGGCAAAGATGGAAAGGATGAATTTCGCCGATTGGTCAAAAGATTTGTCCTCTCGTTTTTATATTCCATGGAATGGAGATCAGTGTCGGATCCCCTCATGCTCCGATTAGTCGCGATCATGTATAATTACGATTATTGGTCGTTTAAATATGCGTGTTGTATTTATTCATTTTCTTTCGATCATAGTTTCGATCATAGTATCGTATATTCGCGAATAATCGCTAAAACGATACAACGCGTTTTTTATCTGCGTTTTTAAACGATCTGCATCTTGCGCTTTTGTACAGTAAATAGGCTCATCATTTCTAACTCAATACATTTTTTTATTCTTTTCACAATTTTATTATTTTATTTTCTTCCTGCAATGGACGTGTATTTGTTTCATTGCAAGTATAAAGAGAGCAGTTAAGGAGCGAATATTATATTATACACATGGCTCTAATGTTTTTGATTGCAGGTATACATGTGCAGACAGATTCGTTTCAATCGAGTTCGATCTGACATGCATGTTAAATGTAAAATTATCATTTTATCCGAAGAAATACTGCACGTCATACGAGTTTTGTCATACGAGTTGATTATTCAGTTCATTGTTACGCGATCATGTTGGAATTAGGTATGCGCAGGGTGTCCAAGGCTGCATAACATGTGTCGTGCACGATTATTCACGCTTCTATCGGTAAATTTCCAGGACATTATGCACATGGCTCCGAATAGTCATCACACTGCAATATGATTCACTGACCGTGTTATTAAACGCACTCATTATGAAATAAGAAACCGCATGAACGGTACCCAATACATCACGAAATAATTCCTTCGTGACATTCCGTTATTTCCTGAGGATAAACTTTTATCTTGCAAACACGAGTCCGTTTAGTCACAGGAGAAACGCACAAAATAGAGTATATGTACGAAAATGTCTGAAATAAATCGCTTTGTTTCCGAAAACCGCACATCTTTATCGTATATGTCACACGTCCCAAAGATTCATTTCTGCATCCTGATGCGTAACTTGAGGAAAGAAAGATGAACTTCAGCTACAACGTAGCATTCTGTCGTTGAGAAAACTCGTTGAGAAACTCGCGGACTCTCTGAAAAGTCTCGGAAATGTTCGTTTCGCAGATAACAAAGAAAAACTTGTCTTTGTTTCCGGCTGCTCTATCTGCGAAGAGTGCTGCTGAGAGCCAGGATAAACTCTGAAAAGACTTTCCACGCGTCTTTCTTACGCGGAAAACTGTGATCTTCCGACACAACGAATCGTTCGCGATGTGATGAGTCATTAATTATCGCGTACAAATAACATTATCACACTTACATATACGGATATAAATAACAGCGATTTAAAAATAAATAAATACAATTGAGACAAATCTTCCAGGGGATTACGCGATAATATACGGATAAATTTCGCGATTTCTCGTAAATCAACGTCCGTAAAATGAAAGGGCGATATTCCATAAGTAATGAGCCACTGCCGAGAAGATACGAGAGCTAAGGCAAACGTGTGTATGACCAATTATCAATGCATCGCGGCTATGACGCGTTTGATAAAACGCGGCCATTCTGCTCAAGATATCCTATCTTGAGATAAAAGGCGTCTTACAGAAGAAAATTAAGATATAAACTTACATATAATATTGATAGAATCTTAGAAATAGAAAAAAGTACAATTTGTACAATCTTGTAAATATCACACATTATACAGTAAATTTATAAATATTTGTGTATTCTTTAATATTTTATATATAAATATATTATAATTTTTAGAAAGCAAAAGATATTTTCCATTTTTTTTCTTTCATTAGAAAAAAAGTACAATTTGTACAATCTTGTAAATATCACACATTATACAGTAAATTTATAAATATTTGTGTATTCTTTAATATTTTATATATAAATATATTATAATTTTTAGAAAGCAAAAGATATTTTCAATTTTTTTTCTTTCATAAAAATGTAATAATAAATTACTTATAATATATTTTTTAAATAAAATATTAGAACATTTTCAAGTAATAAATTAATTTCTATAAATTATGATCTTTTCCTTTTGCTGAAATTTTAAATAAAACATATCTGTACATCTTGAAGGCAGTAATAAAAAAATGATGAACTAATATAGATATATGTATTTGCATATATGTGAAAAAATAGTGCATGATAAAAGCACATTTTTATATTATAATTTTCATTTCTAATAAATTCTCAATTGTACATGGTTAACAATGACACTTGCTTTCAGATTACCATGATCTGTCAAGGTAACAAAGCACAGATTTCGCATTCGCATTTCCTATCTTTTAACATTATCGAACTCGTTGAGAGCATTGGCCAAAGATATCTCTGGCAATGTATCAGTGGCTACTACGAGTGTGCATCGTGATTTATGGCACCATTAATGAAATTTCACAATTGGTTTCGCTCGCGATTCGAATAGCAGATTTACTATCTTGTCGTGGCACGAGCAAGACTTTCTAATCGATCAACTGTGAGGCATGCTTCTTGTATCCCTTCTTCTTGTAACACTCTTCGAGCATCCTGTAATGTCGAAAAGTGCCAATGGATGTGTAAAATCGCGAAACATGATATCCCGTTATTTAGCCTTCCATAACTTGTATCGATACACGTACATTTTTGGCAGCACTTTGTGAATGACTAATACCCATCATGATTCAGCATATAAACATTCAAAGGTTGTTTTAATTATGCAGTAGTATAGTATTCTAAATTGATGGTCATTAATATTTGATTAGCATTAAATATTGTCAATTTCCTTTTAATAAAATATATGACTTCATAGTAAAAATTTATGAAAATAAAATATCAAAAAGATATATGACATAGAGAGAAATTTTAATTAAATATCCCAAAATATTAATAATTAGAAATTATAGAAAAAAATTTGACTATTTAAAAGAGTATAAAAAGGAGTCATTATTGTAAAAAATAATACTGTTCGGTTTAAAAAAAAAATACATCTCATCCTTCTAGAATAAAAAATTATTAATCGCTCTTTTTTATATATAAATTATCTTATTTTATATAATAGTCAAATATTTAAAAAGAAAATAAATCGCTATGTAAAAGACAAAGTTGTACTGCAGTCTTATATATCTCATCGGATTAATTAAAATAATAATTAGCAAAAATAATATTGAAATGCGACGCGCAAGCGGAATATTTTTAGACATAATCTATGACGAGTCGTCTCGATTAGTTGAAAATAGTTTTAATTAAGTAACTACTCGCACAACATCAACCGGATATTCTAAATCAAGAGCAAATATAGCCACGGCCTATTTTGTCAAATGCCGCGGATGATGATAATGATAGATTTGGCAAGGTCAACGGTATCTCCGAAAAGAACGGAGACACATTAATCAGCGTCGCACCCAAAATTCGCGGCGTTGGCACAAAAACCTTGGGGGTAACTGAAAATAAACTTGCGGCTGCATAATCGCGAGAAGACCGATGTACTATGCGGATGCAGCTGGTGAACACTGAGAACAATGCAACAATGCACGGCATTGTTTTAATTTGCACGATAAACTTATTACATAAAGTAATAAATGTTATACTTGTATTTGCTCTGTACTTGTAATGGGCGTCATAAAATTATCAAGTAAAATAATACAGCTATATTTGCATCCATCGCGAATTCTTAATATCGAATATAATTTGAAAAATGTAATCTTATTATGCTCGTATTTAACGTGTTAAATCTATGTATTTAATATATTTTCTCTTCAAATACAAATGTGTAATATCATCAGAATTCATTATCTATTATAATGAAAAAAATGCATGTAATCGGAATGATAAGTTTTACAGCAACTACTATTTCAA